CGCACTTTTAAACATCAATACAATTTGCAGAAAACATGCACACACATACTATTTGTTCTACTCCTTTAGTCAATAATATTAACGAAAGCACTAGTAATGGGGAAATATATTTTTGTGCCTTTTATTACTTCTTGTAGTGATGCATGCAGTGACTGTTAAAAAGTGCTACAAACTCGATTCCGGAGTACTTGATCAATATGAGTTATATGGTCGACGTAGACGAAGTATTTCGAACACTTTATCGAAAGACTAGATAGCGGTGTAAGAGTACCACGATGGTGACTAAGGCATCGGCCATAGCAAACTAGTGGCGTGTATGTCATGCATAGACAAATCACACGCGTGTGATGCACCTGCCACGCGTTAGCGCATGCTTCTCGGATGTCTGCGTGATCCATTGCCTGTGATACCTAACGACCGTTGGTCAACAGTTCGTTGGCGAAATTTTAAAATATGATGTAGGTTCGTACTTTCTGACAGATATGAGGCAGAGACTTTTACTCAATAATATAGCCTTAGACAGGGGGAAAAATATGATAAAATCAAGAAAAGGCTTTCAGAATGAATTCCAGGGCACTCTCTTACGGATGAGGCTACTTGAGTAGTTATTTGCAAGTTTAAACTGCTCGTTTCTTGTATGGGAGTTAAGTGAGGGGAAGACCAGATGCAGCACATAAGAGCGACTAAACAGTGCAAGGAATGTTCGGGGAGGAAAAAAAGGCATCATCTATTGAAGCCCCTGGAACACTCAATACACTGAATGGATGGATCCTGTCCTCTTGTCCTCGGCGTTGAAGAATAGGCTTTCCGAATGCAATAACTGCTCCAGTAGCTGAGCAAAACTTGCAAAAATTTGGATCCAGTCAAAAATATCAGCATAGTGTATCAAAGCCTGATTTATAATGAGTCATCTATTCCCATATGAGACGCATTTTCTGACAAAGGACACCGATGTACATGAGATGGCAGTGCGGCTCCATGTCTGATGTGAGATAACGAACTCAAAGATCGTTTTCTTTTACCGAAGAAATGTTCGCAGGAATCAATAGTTTATAGTCCCACCACTTCTTTAATTTAATATTACTGACTATGTGATGCTTCAACAGGCTAAAACGCCGTGCTATTTTGGCGCAATTTTCTGAAAATAAGTCGGCAGTTGCATCCCAAAAGGGAGAATTTAATGTGAAGGCCTTGACTCGCCTTTTTGACATTCGTTTAGGTTGAAACATAAAACGGAGGATGCGCAATGTGAGTCGAACCTGACTTTCTCGGTCGCCTTTTATCTGCAAACCAGCCCTGTCTCGCCAACATGCAAAGGCGAGACCATGCTCCACAGAGATAGATGCAAACAGGCAGACTGTCACAAAACACTTTGACTTTGTTCATTGTCATATCTTACCTATCTTAATCACCAACGACAGCCACGCTTAGCCCTTGGATCAAGTTACCTATCTCGAATTTCCACTGTTGGTTTGAAATACAAAGAGAGATTAGAAGCAGACTTCAACCATGCGAAGTTTTGTCATTCAAATTTTAGATAGGTTTTAAAACTATGGAAATGTTCAGAAAGGTCATAGGAATCACTTCAGCAGCCCACGAAATTAATGCTATCCCATAAAGCAAGAAGAGGTTCCAAAAAGTCAGCTTGGTAAGCGACCTGTAATATAGGGATTTCGAAACCACCTATCGGCCGTATTTTGCAATGCTGTTATTGGAAACGTTGCATTTCAAGATTAGTTCGGGTTATCGAAGGAAATGATCCGGACCGTAGCGTGGAGTATTGCAAAAGACATTTAGCACGATGTGTGGACGATGAGCGGTTTCTATCGAAATTCTGGGGAGAGACGAGGTTTCAGTTAACTTATATAGCCCAACTGACCACTGTATTCCCATCTAGTGGGGGCCTACCAGATAACATGTTATGGAGAACATCATGTTAACTCAGTAGGATTTGTGGTGTGTAAGCTATGGCATGATTTGTCATTAAGAGGAGCAATTAAACCATTGTTTCTGATGCTACCGCGACTGGTCGTATTTACCTGAAAGTTCCGTGCCAATCTACCATGCCGGACGTTAGGGTGGTTTTCTAAGATGAGGAGTTTTATTTTCATCAAGCCCGCACGACCATCGTTACAACCATCATAATGTTATTTGCTAGCAGCTAGATCGGATGACAAGGGTTCATGGAATGCCCTCCGCGTTCATCAGAGCTCACTCCTCTGAACCGTCAATCGGAATACTTAAAATATGGTCTGCACTAAAAGACAGGCGACATTCAACGGAATAAAAGTAGCACTATAATGCCAATTAAGATATTCATTGACGTCTCTGACCCAACTGCTTTACGTTATTCACAATGCCAAGAGCGGTTCAAACAAAGTAACTGAACTATGTTTGTCGATTCTATTGCTGTCTGAACGTAAAATACACCTTAATAGAAACTGACCGCGTAAGTTTTATTAGTAGAATAAGATTGATGTCTAGGCAAGAAAGACCGGAATAACCAATTCTGGCTCACTAGCCGCCAGCCATTCCGGACTCCAGGTTTTGCGACCTCCTGGGATTCGAACTTCCGCTCTGCTGGTTAGTCCTAGGTCCTAACAACGGGACGGCTGATTTCTGTAGCGCGATCGTTGAGCATCCTCCTAGCATTGTATATAGCCGATCGCAACCGACAGGACAACGAGCCCGTGGCTCAGTGGTTAGGGAATTGGACTTCTGACCAACAGATCGAGTGTTGGAGTCTCAGGGGTTGTAAAACTTGGGGTTGGGTATGACTGGCTAATGAAGACTAATACGCCACAAAAGGACATCCCGGTTCACCTTATCGATAGTACTATTCTGCCTGTACTACTAGCCGCAGTGCGGTTGTTGGCCAAGCTGTAGTTTGAGCTCCAAAGCACAACGAAACAAAGATGTCGCGTAGCACGAGCGGTTAGCGTCCCTTGATCATATGTTTGAAAGCGTTTGGGACACCTTGCACATAGTAGTTGCATTGCACTTAGACCAGCAATTTTTAAAGCTAATATAGTGCTATCGAAGCCATTCCTGATTTACACTATAGAAGACCACATAGCTCACTCAATTAAGTTGGTATCATTCAGATTACGCCTAGTGTAGTTTATTAACAACGGTCTTAATAATATTATGTCGTATGGAGGGGTGAAGGGGTGTACAGCTATGGGTTTGCGTGACGGTTGTAATAGGTCGCTTCACTTGCCTGTACATGTTGACTTCGCCTAGGGTCCATTGACTGGCACCCGCTCTCAAATACGGCCCCATGAAGATAGGCTTTGCTTAGCAGTCACACCCCGGTAACCGCCTCGACCGACGTGCCGAACCAGGTTGAGGATATCCGGTGTTTTGTGCGTCCCCACACCCGGTAATTCTGCTCTCCTCCCCGTCTCTACTTCATTCCCCCCATCCCACTCCCTCCGTCTCCCCTACCTTTGAGGTCTTAGAGAGAGTACAAGAACCACAGTTGGCCGGACGGATCACCGCCTCGACATCTCCAAGATGACGTTCCGTCTGAAACCCCGCAGAGGGCTGCAAGGTAAGAGAACCCCAAGTTAAACGCCGTTCTGTTGAAATTGCCTATTCACCGCTTACATTTCAGCAGTTATCCCAGAGATGAAAGGGAAACCCTGCTTCCCGTCTCACTACCCCTCCTCCATTCCCCCTGCCTACCAACCACTTCAAAACGTCCCAGGAAGAGGGCGATATGCTATACGACTGCTCTTCTTTTTTTGGCCCATATGTGGGTTCGTTAAGGCGATGAATGTCTTGAAACCGTGTGCAGGACTCACCAGAATTTACAGATTGGAGCAAATAAAACTTTTCTGCTGAGTCCCTCACTTTTACTTCTATGCTACCTAGGAAACGCCTTTTCGGTGCTGCATACACAACAACGACTCTATCTTACTCAGTTGAAGTGTCGGCTACTTTATGACCCAAATCTGGTGGGTTTTGGCTTCTCAGCCGATCCCTCAGAGTTGGCCATGTTATTTTTGCTACGGAAAATCCAAATATGAATGTTAAGCTAATACGTTTGCAAATACTTAGGGAGAGCATTAAGGGTTGGAAAACTGAATGAAGGCGATCTGTTTGCAATATATTTCTGGAGTTGGAGGCGAACGTTTGCATTTCAGGTGTGCGCATGAGTGACGACGAAGACTAGCCGAGCACTGGAATCACTCCTTTATTTGTCTAAGACTTGGAACCCATACAAGAGTCCACCGTCAGAGATAAAAGTAGTAACAGAATAGACAAAAGTTGCAATGGATGTTTGTAAATCAAGGTTCAATAACGCAGGCGAAGAGGTGGCTGCGCAGGGCCTCGTATGCCGGCGCCAAATCGATTGACTAAGTGCCCATCTGGTGCACAGGCTTCGACAAATTCTCGACCGGTCTTGTTTTCTACGTGGGCGATTATTTTATCATTTGTGAAGTTGAATTCCTGGTGTGGACAGCCATCTGTGATAATTCATCCCTGCAGCGAGCAGTCAGTTTAGGTTCGTGTATCCGCCACATGGGAATGCGTTCGGTCTGACCTGCGTAATTACCAGGACTATTTGGGCGCGGGATACGACATACTACGTGTGACTGCTCCCTTGGATTTACTCGGTTTTTGATTTTCATGACCATGCTGCGCATGGTAGCTTTGGACCGGTGGGTAATTCAAACAACCAATGCTTCTGCATTGGTAGTCTTCTTAAAAGTTATTCTTATATGGCAAAGCGTGCCATACAGCAGGGCGAACACGTAGACAATGTCTTATAAACACCCTCGGATGGCTATCACGCATAAAACTGATGCAGAGGTATCAGGCCTCGCGTGTTTTTTCTTCCCTGTCATTTCGCAGCCGCTAAGAAATTCGTCCAGTTAGGAAACAAGACTGACTTACTCAGAATAACTCGACCATAACTGATTTCGGACAGCTTTGCGAATAAACAGCAGTGCGATGTGCGCAGAAGTCCTTCAGGCTGTCACCTGAGCGTCCTTTCAAATGTCAGTTAGTGTTACCTACACGACACGTTAGAAAGAGCAAAAATGGGTGTGTCATGTAAACAAATGAAACAAAGCACCATGCATAAGAAATTTACCCTTTCGTTGGCAGTGATGTTTGGGGCGGCTTTTGGACGTGGAGAGTTTCGAGGAGGAGGAGGAGGAGGAGGAGGAGGGGGAGTGACGTTAATGAAGAGAGCGAGATAGTCCTTCAAGTAGGTTTCTTTGCCACGCGCCGTCTCAGACGGCGAGATGTCGCCTCCGTCAAGGGGAGCGGTCCCCGCAGCCACAATCAGTGACGAAGGGTACGTTGCGTGAAGCTGCTCCTAACTGCGCAAATCACACTCACGCACGCACACACACACACAAACGCACCGACTTTTGGAATCTGCAAGAGGCCACACCTCGCCCTTTGATGGAGCACACATGCGTACACCCCCTCCCCCCTGTTCGACGCCGAGACAAACGCGGCAGCATGTAGTGAGTCAATCATGTTTCCTGCACGCCAATGTGTGAACAGAAAATTTGCAGACAGGCTACGATTTGCTCAAGAGGTGTCACGAGACTGGGGAATTTGCTGTCTCGGACCGAGGTGGTTTATTTTCGACTGTCCTGTCTGTAGTCCGGGTGGCTGTTACCGCCTTTTCCAGGGAAAAGGGGGAGTGGCTTGGTGTCTTGTTGATGGCCATTTACGCTGCAGCGACGCCATTCAACCGAGAAAAGAGTATATTTTGCGAAGCAAACATGTAGACGCTCGAGAGGACACTGCGAATGGAGCTCTGCCCTTATCTACTCATTTCTATCAACAGAAGAGAACGTATGTATTGAAGTTAAAAAACAATGTCGCAGGGTCACGCGAACAACGCTTGCGAGCTGTGTGGAAATGAGTCTTCGTGCACTCCGGCTTTAGTTGTAGGTACAGTCACGCCGACAGTCGAACAAATATGCCAAAGTCATCAAAGAAGCTGCAGTACTTCCGGATAAAAATATCTTAAGACAGCAAGCAGGGAGGATGAACAATGTACAGAAAATATGACTTAGCTAACAAAAATACGTTAAAGGAAGTCGACCTATTTTTGGCTGCCGAATAGGGAATTTCATATATGAACTAATTGTGCCCTTCAAGAGTTGATGTAGACCGTTTAATCACATTAGAGAGAAACAATTTGCGGCCCTTGTCAATCGTCAAAAGAGGGCTTACTTGTATTTGCTTGCCATCCAAAGTATCCAAGAAGGCGATATCGACAAAAGCCAAGTTCAACACGAATAGGTCAACTGAATTATACAAAGCTGTTAAAACACACGAAGTAAGTTAGCCTAGCTGTCATCTAACAGATTCGAAACTGATTACTTAGGAAATCTTGCATGGGCAGTCATATTTACCAGAAATGGTGGATGCGATATGTTCCGATAGGCTGAGCGGGCAACTAGAACCAAATGTGATTAAGCTCACTGCTCTCGGTAGGTGCCTCGTAGCTAAGCTGGTCAGAGCGCTGGTTGCAATGAAAGCATTGCACTTGCTGTCATGGGTTCGAACCCCACCGAGGTCGTCGACATTTTCACAGTTTAGTCAAGCAAATTACTTAGATCACTCAGAGCACCTATTAAAAGTGTCATCATTGTGAAGTAAGTCCACAGGAAATTTTTTCCCCCAATGACTACTGTGACAATCATCGGTTTATATGAAAATGCGACCTCACCGGCCAAGTTGGTAGTCTCCCAAAGAGAACCTTCGTGATGATAGCAAGTTTGAGCAGCTAAGAGACCATCTTCTTACACCTCTAAAGGCTTAAGGCAATTTTTTCGAAAATTACGATTACATTCCTTCAACTTCTTCATTGGAGTCGGATCTTACTTCGGAAACTTTTCCATGCCAGCTTTTCCAAAGTTGAAATCTAAGCTTCTAGGGTGATACTCCTTCTTGTTGCTAGGCATTTTAATGTGGCCTTTATGGCACTCCCACCACAGTGTGGGATCCGAGCCAGGCGTTGGCGGCACGCCTAGGTGCGGCTTCGGCCGTGCCAGCCTCCAAATCTCTGTTGTGTTGGTTGAAATCCTGGTTATTGTTGTGTGGACCAGGGGGTGTGGTGGAACGCCAAGGTGAGGATCCGTCCGAGCCATCCACCTGCGGCCTCCCTCGTCTCCGGTCTTCTTGACTCTGTCTTGACACCGGGCTCGGGCGAGGGAGGTGGAGAGAGTGTAGGTAGATGCAGCGCAAGTCTACTGGCACTATAAACCCCTGCGCAAGTCACCGTCCCTGCTCCAACCTGCTGTGGGGCACACGGTGGACATCATCGAAATCGATGGTCGAACTGTCAATTATTTGTCTCTGTCATACAGAATCAACCAAACTGCAACCCATGTCACGCAAAACAGTGACTAAAGGGCTCCTCTGGTGTCACTGAGACGCACTATTTCTTCATGTACTCGAGACCATTAACCGAAGAGTACTTTGTCGGCGAATTTGGCAGGTGAGGTGGTACAGAAAGATAACTTCGTAGGCTAAGTACTTGATTAAGAAAGCGGGGTGAGACTATAGGGCCGCAATATCTTTTTAACTTGCCTTATGTTTGTGTTTTTATTGGAGAAACGCGGTGTCTGGGTGAGATTCAAACCCGAGACAGCAAGAAGAGGCTTTAGTGCAGCCAACGCTCTAACCATCTGAGCTTCGAGTTTTTCACAGTTGGGTCAATGTGAATTATCTGAAATCTGTCATAACACCTATGAATCACGCGAACCTGGTAGTCAGCTGGTGGATTCTAGATGTATTACTAAGGTGATCCTGCTTGGGTAGTCAGCATACTGTATCACAGTTGGTGGTACCAGACGTTGTAGCAAGTTTGGCGGGTAAACTTGACCCAAATGTAAGTAAACTCGCGTCGTCCGATGGACCTCGTAGCTCAAATGGTAAGAGCGTTAGCTGCAATAAAGCCTCCCCTTGTTGTCGTGGTTTCGAATTCTACCGAGGCGCCGAGTTTTTCACAGTTGGATCAAAGTGAATTCCCAAGTTGTTGTAACAAGAAGACGAGGGATCGAAGTAACCTACAACGACTGGGGTCGCTTCCTTTAGGTGAGCGTAGGCTCTGACCATTGTTTATGAGCAATTCCGTTACACATGCACTTAAAGAACCACAAAACATCACAAGGTTTCAAAATACAAAAACTGCACATAAATCAGCGACCTCCAGGGTCTAGTTTCGTGCTGAGCACCATCTGTTTATCACGCATACATCACGACACGCAATAAGGAACAATAACATCTTGCACAGGACAGATATTTGTGGTCACTGTCTCACGCACTTGGTCCAGCGAAATGACAGCAGGTTACACATGAGTTTCTTTGTACTTGACTCGGGGTATTTTTTCGACTTCTGAAAAATCTCTGCTTCTATGGTCCATGATGATAAGTTAGAAGATGAGAATTTGCTGTCGACGTTAGAACAATTTGAAGCTTGCCTAAGGACCATTTGGTTTCAGCTGTGATCATTGATACTTATTTCTGAACACTGCTTCACAAAATGATTGTTGAAATTCCGGCAGCGAAAAACTTGACAAGAGAGAGCGGTGCACTGAAGGAGCGTTAAATAAATGTCATGTCGTAGTTGGGTCTATTAATTGTTTAAAACACTCGTAAACTTGTTCAGACCTTAGAGCAGCTCGCTGATGTTTAGCTGGCGAGTAAATTCTGAGGAGGTGGAAAGGCGAAGTCGAATGATTTCGATATGACTAGGAGCCGATTCTATGTAGCAAGCGTAACTGTGGCATGTTGGCAACATGTGGAAAGTAATAACTGAGAAAATGAGAAGTGAGGAAAAGTGCTGTTATAGGCCAACAAAATACAAGCACATTTCAGGGGTCACCACCATGGCCGGTTCCACCGCGACAAGGAAAAATCAGTCGTGATGGAGAGTTGGAGTATCCCAAGTCAAGGCGTCTATATTTCCTAAGGCGTATCTCATGGCATTACAATGACCTTGAATGGAAATGAGGGCAATACACGGTCTGGCGTCAGTTGGAGAACATTCTAGCTTAAGAAGTTTCCACATTGGAAAGAAGATACAGGCAAAGCCATAAAGTAAGCGCTAGATAAAGAACCTCATCACAACTTTTGGTAGCAATGATGTGCCTATTAATTGTCATCGAATATCCTTACAATTAAAGAAATAAACTTTTTTTTTCATTGCATATCCGTGGCAAGAAGTTGCATGCAAGGACTGGAAGAAATTCGGAAATGAGATTTAACGCAGTCGTTGTCACAGTTTGGCTGATATTTTACTTTCATTCCAAATCCTCGGTCTTAGTAGAATAATGTCTTACGATTTAACTGTGACGCTGACGGTTCATAAAACTCTAGCTCTACTCTACCAATTAAGTACGAAATGGTTTCGCAGATTTCCCTTGTTCGACATGTGTACAATCATTTAAAACGATGGCGTCGTCGTTCTAATGATAGAAGAAGCCCATGAAGAGCGTTTTTAAGAGCAGACAAGACTGTCAATAATTTTGCCAAGGTTATCTAAGCGCATTTTTAGTTAGGTCCTTCTCGTTTATCCTCACGGTGTCATAACTTGCTAACAATACGTTGGCAGGACATCCTGCAGACAATAGTCTTCGTCACTCCACCGTCAATTCACAGGAGATAGTACCACTAAATTTCACATAAGGCTGCATTATTAACTAGCTAATGTACAAAACCCAAGCAACTTTGAAAACACCACTGAAAACCTGATACATTCTCTGTTGCGATGTAAGCAGTTATTCTGCAATTTAAGAGAGCGATTTATCAGCACATAAAACGGGTTAAATTGTCAAGTTTATAGACATTTATTAAGCGACGTATCTTGTCCTCGCAAAATGAAGATACAAGTGCGGTATATGATTCATAAATCGGATCCCTAGTCTGTAGTGTGATTCTTAACGCAAAAATAATACGCAGAAATTATGTGCACGCTCGGTGCAACCAGAAGATATCCGACGCTCCTGTGGGCTAATCCAAGAGCAGGCTCCGTGGACGAAAGCGATGTCCATATTTGTAGACCAAACAATCTAGATTGTTGCCATATTACAGTTCTTCCAGCTGCCTCAGCAAAAAGCTAACCCGGACTAAAATAAACGCATTCACTGCCTTGGCAAGTCTGATTACTGGCTTATCAGTTATATGTTTTGGCTTTTGCAAGACAAATAACGATCATTTTTGTCCTTTCCGACAAGGATCATCGTCAGGTAAAAAGTGTTTAAGTAGGCAGAATTATCTGGTCGTCCAAATGTGCCTGACATATTCGATTCATATTGGAATCTATCAAGTCGCGATTGAAAACGGTTGACTAGCATGCAGATTGCTTGCCAGGTTGAAACAAGCGATACCTTTTCAAGTAAATGAACGAAAAGTAATGTCTAAAATGCCTAAAATTACAAGGCACTATCTATTTGAAAAGTCAAGTTGGCGAACGCACGTTTTCGGTAATTCTTCCTCAGGCCAATCAATACATCCTGATAAGAATTTCCTCGTCACGTGTGCCTCCTCAAGTCTGGTGTTAAACTTTAGGAATTAATTGAGTTCATTTAACACCGAGGGATCTTTGGATTGTCTAAGTTTCTATTTATTTTTTAAACTGTGCAGTCCGACATAATGGTCTTGTTCGTCTCGCGCCACCAAAACTTGGTGTTCATGTATGGCTTGCCCCCCCATCTTTAACAATTGGAAACCTGTTATGTTACAAAAGTATTTTGTGCAGGCATCTGCGACCACATCTCAATGGGAGACGAAATTATGGACGGCCGTATAGCCAACCGCCTTGCAAAAACTTCTAGAGGGTACCCCGTGCTAAGCAACCATAACACAAACTCTACCTAGCAGACTCCAAACGCTCAAAACCTTCCTATTTCAAACCTGAACATAAATAGACATGGACAGTCACCTGTATTTCGGACCTCCAATTTTCTCATGGATGGCACTGACAAGCAAGCTTTTGCAAAGGATATATGAACTTTTTCGGTGAGCAGCAAACACGGCACAAATAATTTTAGGTTAAGTTTATCCGAAGTCATAACCGAATTGCAGAAATGACCAAATAATGGCAAATCCCAGGAGAAGAATTGAAGATGTCTAGACAAGGAAAGAAAATTTTGATTAAGCTCAGACACAACATGCCTAGATACACTCTGTCCGCCTCGACATCACATTTCCCCACTGACTGCTGACAACTGATCAAAGTCAAATTAGGCATAATGGAACATGCACAATTTTTCGAGCACGCCGAATTTTACAATAGCAAATTTTTGAAAAAAAGATAATTGTTTACGCGACGGATGTAGCCTTCGATGGACTTGTGAACAGCGTCATGATACGCCCGTTTGACCCTTGCATGGATGACGTCTAGGTAGTTCCAAGTGTGCATCTCGTACGCTTCTAGCGCCCACACATGACGATGACGGAGTCGGTGGACACACCTATTACCGGGCCACGACCGGATGCGTGATCTTCACAGGAGTATCTCAGAGGTGTGGCCGATATTTCATCCGGTCAGTTGATTACACACACATTAGTGCACGCAAAGGGTCGTGCGCTACGCTAGGGACCACGAGCTGACGATTGAGCAAACCGCTGATTGTAATACGAACGCTCAGTTTACGCCCTCTTTGAGTAGAGTCATTCAATGGTGAATATCAGGGAAGTTGTTTATAGCAAAAGCACTGGCTTGTGCATATAGAAAAAGAACTTGAAGCATGTCGAGCGCTAAATGTCCTCATCATAATTTTCGCATATTGCTGCACCTAACACATGATAATTGTAGGCCTATGATGCTGGTGTTGCTTTTTGCAGCGAGCATGCATGCATCGGCCGAGGTGCAGTTTAAAGCATTAAACTGACTTGTCCCCCGATTTTCCTAAGTCGCGGTGATTTTCTAAATCCCACGGAGATGAAAATCATGTCAATCTGAGACAATAAAACATACGGTATATCGGATCTTAGAAATAGCACTATAGATGTCTGATAAATGTGGGTGCACATGAAATTAAAGTCCTAAAGCATGCGGCTCTGTCTACCTTCCTCCCACTTTTTCGTGAGGAGCTTTATTTTTGGCTAAAAAGCAGTCCACGCCTGGTGTGGCGAAGTGTACAGTCCAGGGAATTGGTCCTATGCGGACTAAAGAGGAAGTAAAGCACACAACGTCCACACTTAAACGAACTCAGCGTATTGAAAAACACACGAAAATGTAGGGAAGGTGAAATGTAATAACACTGGAGACGTGTGTGCAGTTTTATATTGGTAGAAGCAATAATCCTGAAAACTGAAGTACAACCGGTGAAACTGAGGGCGCTCCTAACACGCACAACGCCACACGAATTGGATCACCAAAATTTTCAACCAGCTCTTAAATTTGAGAAGCTAGCACAGAAATTAGGAAATATTTGGAATTTTTCGTCTACCAGGCTACCAGAAGTAAATCAGTAGACTCCGTTGCCTACGACGGAGCATTTAAACTCCAGCGAAAGCATACTTTCTACAGAAGTATTTTCAGAGGTTGATCAGCATCCCGATCAAAGTAGATAAGAATCGATTTACTTGGCCAAATGACATAGCGGATTACCGGTGGAGACGATAAACATAAATGCCTTGGGGTTCCAATGACCTGGCATTCTGTCGTCCTGAGCAGCGACACCTTGCAAGAGCGGGGGAACCATACGTTCACGCTAATAGCGAAATGCCGGAGGTACAAATAAACCGACGACCTTCTGAATCTCGGTTCACCTTATGCACCAACTTTTTATCACGCATATGGCAAACGACGCGCAATAGGGAGTATTCAAAGCATGCAAAGGAAAATGTTCGGTTAGTGTCCCGGAACACCAGGTACGATGTAACGTCAGCATTTGACGCATGGCTTCCTTTGAAGTTGACTTGTGGAATTTTTTTCGGCACCTGACAAATCTTTGACTACCGTCTTATGTGCTGACTATTCGGAAAATGGAAGGGTGCTATTGATGTGGGAGTATTTTGGGGCCGGATAAAAGGCGGTTTCGTTTCGTTGTTTCATTCGTCTCAACAAAGTGCGGTATAACTGGACTACCCCAGACGCTAACCATGGG